CTTCGACTACGTTCGTCATGCTGGTAAAGATGGGGAAAAGCCGGCATCTGCAGATCAGTGGCTTCGGGAGACTGGCATACACTCGCTTCAGCTGTTGTGCGACCTGTTCAGCAGTTTCTACAAGGTGGGGTTGCATGGCAGCTTGTGTTGGGTGGTGGTGGTGGTGAATTGTTGTGGTGGCGGGGGTGGGATGTTTGGACGGGTAGTTGATGAGGCGAGAGGAGGTGGATGCAGTGGTTCTGACGGGGCGTGTTTGAGTTGTGGCAGGAGGTTTCGTTTCTGTTACCGGCATTGTTGGGGTTGTTGCTGGACTGCGCTACTCGACCGGATCAAACATTGGCAGCAATTTCGATGGGTGCTCTGGTGCGGCTTGCTGAAGTTGGTGGACACCAGTTCAACGACAAGGATTGGAGCACTGTTCTGGACAGCATTCGGTAAGTATTGTGACGTGGAGGCATGTGGATTGAGGAGGGGAGTGGGGAGATAGAACGGGGTTTTTGTGAGGGCTCGGGGGGCGGTACATGTCAGTGAGGTTGTGCGGATGTGCATCTTTGGAAGGTGGAGTTGGTTGTAGCACGGTGGGTCGGGTGGGTGGAGTGGTGCTGTGACTGCGTTGATGGATGGGTTGCGTGGTAAATGGCGACACGGGTGGAAGCCGAGGCGTTGGGGTGCAGGTGTACTCGAGGAACCAACATTGGAGCGAACGCTCTGACAGCGCGTGCGGTGGTTGTGCAGGGATGCGTGTCAGAGCACCCAACCAGTGGAACTGATGAAGCCGGAGAGCATGGTGACGTTGGGGTCGGATTTGGTTTCGGGACCGGGCAGGCTGTCAATTGCGACCCCTCCATCGAGCATGCGAGGAGGTCACACCCCAGGCGGACAACCAGAGGCAGAGGCAGAGCATTCGGTAGCTCACGAGAACGGTGCGGTTGAAGGAACGCCGAAGAGCGTGAGCAACGGGGACGCATCGAAGATGAACCGTCGGTTGAGCTTCGATTCAGTGGCAGAGGAGCGGGTGGAAAGACTGAGCATTGCGGAGTCCGAAGGTAGCGATGGGGGTGACGGCAGGGCGGTGCATAGATGGTGTGGAGAGGGGTGAATAGATGTGGGATGCATGGGGGTGCGAATGTTGTAGGTCGGTGGGTTGGTTGAGTGAATGGGAAGCGGGGTGCTGTGCAGGTTTTGAAGCGCCAGGTTCGGTGGCTTGTCCGAGGGAGGGCCAAGCCAGCGAATGTGGCGAGTGGGGGGACTTTCATGAGCAATGTGATGGACACACTGCTGATGAGCCCCCACGTCATTCAGGAGAGT